GGAGCAGCACCCTCTGTCGGCTTCATAGGAGCCGCAGAGGAGTAAGACCCAGGCCCTCACCTGTGCAGGCTGCGACCAGGTGGGCCCGGCAGGGGAGGCCTTGCAGGGTGTCCACGGATGGGCAGGAGTGCGACTGGGCCTGGCTTGGGGACAGAGCCAGCGCTGTGGCTGCCTGGTCCGTGGCCAGCACTGCAACACTCTGCTCAGGGAGGAGCTGGGTCCTGGCTGGCGCTGGTGCACCCCAGACACCTGGAAGTGTGTGTGAGTTGGGGGTTCTTGTCATGGTGACCATGGGACGGTGTCTGGTATTCAGAGGGGAGCAGCCACAGAATGTCAGTACCACGTGTGGCTCCTGCCCGATGGTGGTGGCCCAGGGGAGGCTGGAGTCCAGAGGGAGGCTCGTGTCATTGCACAGCTGTCACCACCATCTGCCCACAGAAGGTTTCTGTCTTCCCAAACCTATGCTGTGTCCCTAGTAAACACTAACTCCCCAGCCCCCTGCCCCTGGCATCCCCACCCTACTCTTCGTCTCTGTGAATTTGGCTCCTTCAGTGACCCCATAAAAGTGGAATCACGCAGGATTTGAGTATGATGTCCCTGTGCTGCACCATGTCACAGTGTGTGGCCGGATTTCCCTCCTTATTGAACTTGAACACGATTCTGTGTACAGATAGACCACGTTTCGTCCATGTGTCTGTCAGTGGGGTTGGGTTGTTTCTGTCTTTTGGTTAGTGGGCACAGCGCTGCCGTGAACTTGGTGTGCAGACATCTGACTGAGTCCTCGATGTCATTTCTCTCTTGGGGACACACCCAGAGTGGAATTGCCAGATCATATGATGATTCTAGGTTTAAGTTTTTGAGGCACCGCCACACTGTTTTCCCTGCTTCTGCCCCATTTTACGTTCCCACCAGCAGTGCACAGGGCTCCGTTTTATCCACATTCTCCCTGACACTGGGTATTTTCTATTTTTTGTCTCTTGTTTTGTTTTGTTTTTGCTTTGTTTTGGTAATAGTTCTCCCAGTGGGTATAGAATGGTTGGATGAAATTTGAAACTTAATTTCAAATAGAACTTGTTTCATTGAACTTTGCTTCTTTCTAACACAATGCCGGCCGAGATGCAATTGCTCAGTCTGTGTTCTGCTAATAGGAACCCTGTGCACAGTAGCATCGCCAGGGGCTGGGTTAGCTGCTAACTTAGTGATTGAAAGTTTGTGCAAGTCAAGTCAGTGCTGTCTGCACAGAAGCTTTCTAGCACCTTCTCAGCACGAAGTCCTCCAGACGCCTCTAGACTCTATCCCTGGCAGGACTTCCAACGTGTGATCTTTGTCAACAAACGGTGATACGCTAATATTTGCTTTGTGAGGAGCTCTCACCAGTAGCAAGCATCAGGACACTCCGGGTTATTTAGGGACTACCTATTTTTTTTTTTTTTTTTTGAGACAGAGTCTCACTCTGTTGCCTGAGCTAGAGAACTGTGGCATCAGCCTAGCTCACAGCAAACTCAAACTCCTGGGCTCAAGTGATCCTCCTGCCTCAGCCTCCCAAGTAGCTGGGACTATAGGCGCACACCACCATGTCCAGCTAATTTTTTTTTTATTTTTAGTAGAGATGGGGTCTTGCTTTTGCTCAGGCTGATCTCAAACTCCTGAGCTCAAGCGATCCTCCCCCCTTGGCCTCCCAGAATGCTAGGATTACAGGCGTGAGCCACTGCACTTGGCTGGGACTAACTTCAAACAGTGATCATTTCAGATCTCAGGGCTCTTTGAGTATTTCAATGGAAAAGTGTATTTTTTCCTATGACTGGTGAATCTTTAGTTGAATGCAATAGCGTTTTCACTGGACACTTTTCCTGGGAAGTCACTGCATTTACAATGTGGGTGAGGTTTGCCTGCAGCCCCCAGCAACCCACAGCCTCTGCCCACAGCAGAAGTTGGCCGTGAGCCCAGGCAGCAGCTGGCCTTCTGCTCAGTGTCCTGCGGAGCTTTCTCCTTCTCTGCATTTCCCCATGTTGTGTCTTGCTGCGTAACAAACATTCCCAAGCTGAGTGGCTATTTTGTGACCTGCAGTCTGTGAGTCAGGGATCTGGGCAAGGCTCAGCAGGGACGGCTCATGTCTGTTCCACAAGATGTTGACTGGGGTCACTTCGGCAGTAGCACTTGGCTGTGGCTGGGCTAGAAGGTCCAGGATGTCTATGGTGCTGGCTGCTGCTTGGGAAGCCTTGGTTTCCCTCTAGGGGCCTCACTCTCCAGCAGGACAGCCCAGTCTCAACATGGTGGCTCATGGCTCCAAGAGGGCAGAGGGAAAGCTGCTGGGCACCTTATGGCCTCAGCCCAGAGCTGGAAGAATGTCCCCTCTGTCAGTTCGTATTAGCCAGCACAAGTCACAGGCTAGTACAGGGTCCAGGGAGGGGCGGCCTTCACGGACAGGGGTGGGAGACGTGCAGCGGCCACACCTGCAGGGTGGCGACCGCAGGCAGCCTCTGCGAGTGTGTCTTTCCCCCTGCACTGAGCGCTGGGGTGTCCTGGCCACCAGTCACTTGGCTGGACACTGGGGGCCACAGGAGAATCAGACGTGTCCCTGCCAGCAAGGAGCCCAGCCTGGGGGCTGGGACAGCAGCTAGGCAGTTAAGGGACGTGAAGCGAAGCAGCTGCCCAGAGGTGTTCCGAGAAAGCATCACAGAGCAAACTGTAGGCCTCCTGAGAAGGTCAGGGGTCAGAAAAGTCATCTGAGTCTTGAAATGTCAACGGGCGTTCCAGGTAGCCCAGGGGCATCGAGGGTGGGGGTGGAGGGGCGGCTGGTGGAGCCTGGCGGTGGGGGGCACAAGCCTGGGCGGGGCCAGCGAGAGGGCAGCGTGCTGTGTCCCAGAAGTCCTCATCCTGAGGCCCGGGCAGACTGGCCTTCCGAGATGGGGGTCCTCCTCCAGGGCCCGGAAGTCGGCTCTGCTGGCATGGATGGGGGTGGCCAGCAGGGATGCCACTCAGGGGCCTGGGACTGGTGGGCAGCTCTGCTCCCAGGCCTGGCCTGGCTGACTGCTCCTCCTGGGCTGTGGCGCTCGGCAGACGCCCCAGAGGAATGCAGGGCCGGCTCCGCTGCCTTCGGTAATGTGGTTTTTTATAGTCGGGGGACTGACTGTCCCGCGGCCTCTGCCAGCTGCTGTGAGCTCAGGATTAGAGGCCTGGCCTTTGCAAGAGCTGGGACGGACCAGCCGGGCCTTCCTCCGGGTGGGGCAGAGATAGGACAGGGAGCCGCCAGTGTCATGGGCCTTCTCCACGCTGCCCTCCCAGGTTCTGGCACAAGCTCCCTCCAGCCCTTCCCAGCTGGGAAGCCCCATCTGGGCAGTGAACCCTTTGGGGGCTCCTCCTGGTGGGCATCAAGGGGGCGTCGACCTCTCCACGCCCACCCCTGCTTCTGGTCCGTGGTGCCAGCAGGGGCCCAGGTGGGCCTGGTGACGAGGCTTGAGTCCACCTCTTGGCTCTGTGACCGAGGACAAGGAGCTTGCCCTCTCTGTGCCTCTGTCCTCATCTCCAAAGCAGGAATGACACTGTTACGTCACTCGGTTTGGGGAAATTATGTGGATGAAGCTTCACCAGCCACAGGGTTCTGCCCTCCCTCATGTGCCGGAGAGGCAGACACGGGCCACAGCAGCACCGCCACGCGTCAGGGCTGGCCCGAGTCCCAGGAATGCACAGCCTGCATTCCACGAGGGGGAGCGTGACCCGGCGGCAGAGGCCGTCACGCAGAGATTTCCCGTCCCCCACCCCTTCCGCCCGCCACGGCGCCGCAGCAGCGCCTGCCTGCGAGCGTGCCTTTCTTTGGGCAACGGGCAGAGGCTCCAGGGCAGGAGAGATTCTTGTGCGCTGACGCCAGGCCAAGTGTCCAGCCCCCGAGGCCGCGTTGGTGGGCGGGCGCAGCCAGCGGCTCCCCATTCACGCGGCCGCAGGGATTTCATTCACCCTTGGCTGGGGCTCGGCCCGCGAGGGCGGCTGCGGGGCGGCTCCCTGGGGCTTTGCCCCGTTCCCTGCCGATTGGGAGCGTGGTGGGAGCCGTCCAGGACACACGCACGACCCGGGCTGTGTCCTTACCCTGTGGCCTCCATTTTTCCCCGAAAGATGCATCGGGAAGAAGCGTTGGTGGCTGTGGGTGGGGGAGGACACACTGCTGGCCCTAAGAGTGATGGCCACATCATTTGTGGGGTGGGCGCCACACCACACGTTTTACAAATGTCCAGATGCAACCCTCAGACAGCCCTGGGTCAGAAACGAGGTTGAGGGTCACCGAGTGTGACTGAAGTCCCTCGGCAGCGTCCTGGGATGTGACTGCAGCCCAGCTCCGGTTCCCCTGTGGGCTGCCTGGCAGGGCTCTGGGGCGTCCTGCGATGTCCACAGCTTCATCCACCCTCAGGACAGCGGGTGGGGTGGGGTTCTGGCGCCCTGGTGCAGCTGAGGAAGCCGAGGCTCGGAGGGCAGGGACTGATCACACAGCTGCCCGCCGGGCACCCTTGTGCCCGTGGAGAAGAGCTCTGGGCTGTGCTTGAGGACAGGAGGCCCCACCAGCCCCCTCGTGGTGCCCTGTCCCCTGGAGGGACAGCGTGTTCCTGCAGCGCGGCGTGGCAGAGGATGGGCGCCGCGCTGGCTTTCTGCACGAGCTGCCGCCGAGGTTTGTTTCCCAGGCCCGCACGAGGGACAGCGCCCGACCCACGCCTCGGGGACGAGTGCTGTGGGCGAGGAGGCAGCTGGGAAGGCTGCTGCCACGGCCCGCTGTGACAGGCCTGGTGTGGGCCATGGCCAGCAGCGCGAGCAGCCCTGACGAGTGGCGTGTTTGCAGGATTGGTGGGGTCTGTGGGTGGAGGAGAGAGTGGGTCCCGGGTCTCTGGGGCCCAGCGTCACAGGGCCAGGTGAGCCAGACCGTGCGGGTCTTGGCTGGAGTTTCTTCAGGTTTCTCAAGTGCCCAGCCGTGCTGGGGCCACACTGGCCTCAGTGTCTCTGTCCTCCCGATGCAGGGGCCGGGGTCTTCTTCCTGTCCTCCGCCGAGGGGGAACACATCAGCTTCCTGTTCGACTGCATCGTCAGAGGCATCTCCCCCACCAAGGGTCCCTTTGGGCTGCGGCCGGTTCTCCCAGGTGCGTGCAGGGCTGTGGCCGGCTGGGCTGGGTGGGGAGGGTGCACTCAGAGGGCCACATGGGGTCCAGGGGCCGATGGGTGCCCAGTCCACAGCTGAGAAGCCCAGAGCCGCACTGGCCTGGGACCGTGGCTGTGGGCACTGGGCAGCCAGGGGCTTCCGAGGGGACGTCTGTGTGCCGGGCCCATGCTCACACAGCAGACTCCTCCTTGCAGGGTCTGTGCTGTTGGGTGCTCAGGGGCCTGGGGCCTTCTGGCTGGGAGTCCAGTCCCAGCTGCAGCTGGCTGCAGAGGCCTGTGAGCCACCTCCTGTCTCCCAGCCTGGGGACAGGGAGGCCATTGCTGCTGGTCTTACTCTGCAGCTGAGGGCCGAAAGCCACCTTGAGGGGGCCTGGCATGTGGGCGCCAGGGAAGGTGCTGGGCTGGGGGGAGGGGCACGTAGTCCAGGCAGGCCTGGGCTCCCCCACTGCCAGCAGGTCCCACTGGGTCCCTGGATAGGCTACTGCTACTCCTCTCGCAGTGATGACAGTGCTTGTCTCCGTGTCCAGGTGGGAGCCTAGGCCTGCGGGCACACAGCAGCCAGTGAGCTCACACCTGGTGCCTCCTTGCACGGGCACCCAGCCGGGCTGTGGCAGGTGCCGCTGCCCTGGAAGACAGAGGGTGGTGGGCTGTCCGATGCAGGCACCCAGGCTGCAGTCTCAACACATGCTGTCCACCCCAGCACAGGCGCAGGGGACAGTGGCCACCAGAGGGAGGAGACGGCTCCCAGGACCCCTGCCATCCGTCTCTGCTGGACGGTGCGGCAGCGCTCCCTGCTGGCGTCTTCCTGCCTCGCAGCCCAGGCACATGTGGATGCTGTGGGCGCGGGGAGTGCAGGGCATGGTCTGCCCCATTGCCTGCCCTGCTGGGTGGAGCCAGGCGGAGGCAGGGCTGTCCAGCAGCCGTGGAGAGCCCAGAGCCAGGGCCTGGACTTTGGGAGCGGGAACTGGCGAGGGCACAGGCTCTCTCCTGCTAGGAGGGGTGCTGGGGACAGAGCTATCCGGAGGACAGGTTCCACAGCAGGCTGGGGGCAGTCGGGCTGACCAGAGTCCCAAACCCTACTCCACAGACAGTCCTTGTCAGAGTCAGCTGGTAGTTCTTAAAAAATACGGCTCCCAGAGCTTCAGCTGCAGCTGTGCCTCCATGTCCCCCCAGGTGTGTGGGGGCCCCAGGTCCCCCTGGTGTGACAGCCGGGTGTGCCACGGAGCTGGCCAGCATCCAGCCACAGGAGTGGCGGGTTCCTGCCCCTGCAGAGCAGACTCCACACCAAGGTCTGGGGTGGGTGGGGCTCTGTCGTCTGCTTTGGCCAGCGTCACACAGAGGCCCATGGTCGCCGGGCTCAGGAGACGTGGCTTCAGCTGGCAGCAGCCTCACACTCAGGCCCTCTGAAGCCCTCTGGGGCCGACTCCACTGCACTCGGGCCAGGGGTGGGCCCAGGGATCCTACAAGCCCACCTGCCTCGGTCTTCCACACGAGACCCAGAGGCAGACCACACCAGGAGGGGAGGGGAGGGCTCAGAGGTCTGGGGTCCAACCTGCTCTGAGCGCTTGTCACCTTGGCCCCTGCCCCCACTGGGGTGCGATGCTGCACCCCGAGTTTGCAGACGAGACTGAGAGGCTAGGAGGTGTGGTGGAGCTGGGAGTTCATCCCCGTCTTGCTGCCCCACCGGTCACTGGACAAGAAATGGCCAAGAGGGTGTCCTGTGTCCTGACCCTGGTGTCACCCAGGGTCCACTGTCCGTCCTCCCTGCAGGGAGTCAGCTTTGAGACTGCCCTGGCATGAGCATCCACAGGGCTTGGGTCACAGGTGTGTCAGTTGCCTCCAGCCTGGACCCTTGGCTGCCCAGGTGCTGTGAGTGGCCCCTGCCGTCCTCTCACACAGCAGGGCGTGTCTGAGGGGTCCAGGGCTGTGGGGTGCTGGGTCGGGAGGGAGCCTGAACCAGCTGGGCCATACCACCATCGCCTTTCATCCCTCCCAGGCAGGGGGACGGAAGAGAAGGCTTGTGCCACCAGGATCCCCGTCCCTGGCAGTGCTGCACAGACCCTGGGCTGCAGAGTCAGCTGCTGGGGTGACCCAGTGGGGCCCTCAGGGTAGCCAGAGCCATGGGCTGGGGGTGAGGCACCATGTGGCCTGAGGGCTGAGCGGAAGGATGATGACGCATCAGGGACACAGCCTCTTCAGCCTGGCCAGGGTCAGCCCAGGACGGAGGGAGCGGCACGCTTTCTCTGCCTTCCGCTGCAACCCGCACGTCGCGCTCCTGCCTTGCTTCTGCCCGGCCAGGCCCGAGCCGAGCGGGCGCCCCAGGCTGTGGCTGGACTTTCCAGCCTCCATGCGCCAGGTCTTGGGGGGAGCTTTTCATGCTGCCGCTGGTCCTAGATTTGGGGGGCAGTGGGTCTGGCTGCCTGCTCCCTGGGCGGGCGCAGGAGCTTGACGGGGCCAGAGGAGCTGATGGGAGCCAGGTGCCAACCAGGGGACCTCCTGCCCTGACGTGTTTCCTGGAGGCCCAAAGGAGGCCACTCTGGGCTGGAGGGTCGGTTGCTCCTTTGGGGTGCTCTGTGGCTCCCTGCAGGGAAACCTCTCTGGGGAGCTGTGGCTGACAGTGCAGGGGATGAGGCAGGGGCCAGGGCAGCAGAGTGGGTGTGGGGATCTCTGGGAGGAGCTTCCTGGCGTGAGGAAGGGGGTCTGGCTGTCTGGGCATGGGGACCCAGGCTGGGTGGGAGGGGCTGCATGGGGTGGCTTGGGCCCCTGAGTGTGGTGTCCGGCAGCTGGGGCTGCGGCGTGGGGAGGAGCCAGGGCTCCAGACATCCCAACACCCGACCACCACGGTGGGGTGGGGCCAGGGTACATGAGCCCTGATGGCACTGGGTCCCCCGGCATGTCCCAGGCGGCATGAGGACAGGGGCTGAGGTAGGGACTGCCTCCTCTGCTGACCCTTCTCTCTGCACAGACCCGAGCCCTGGGGGACCCTCAGCCTCGGAGGAGCGCGTGGCCCAGGAGGCCTTGGAAGCCCTGCAGCTGGAGAAGCGGCTCAGTCTCCTCCCGCCCACGGGCCGGCCGGGCAGTGCAGGTAGGGCCAGGCCACCGGCGGGGCTGGGGACCTCGCTCTACGTCTCCCAACTGGGGAGCCTGGCTTGGACAGCACCTGCAGCTCCTTCACTGCTTCCTCCCCCCCTGCTCATTCATTCATTCCTCCCCCCTGCTCACTCACTCCTTCCTCCCCCCCTGCTCATTCATTCATTCCTCCCCCCTGCTCACTCACTCCTTCCTCCCCTCCTGCTCACTCACTCCTTCCTCCCCCCTGCTCACTCACTCCTTCCTCCCCCCTGCTCACTCACTCCTTCCTCCCCTCCTGCTCATTCATTCATTCCTCCCCTCATTTCTCCATGTTCATTCATTAATCTTCATCCTGTTCATTCATTCACTCATTCTCTCTTCTGTTCATTCATTGATTGATTTCCTTTCCCTCTTGCTGAGAGCAGAGTGGGACTGGAAGGTGGACAGGAAGTCTGGACACAGAGTGGGGAGAAGAGGAGGAGAGGGGGAGCCCAGGAACCAAGTCTGGAGGCCTCGGGACAGAGGGACTGGAAGCAAGGGGAACGGGGTCCCATCTGTTTTTTAGGGAGACCCCTGCTGCAGGGCCCCAGAGTGGCAAGAGGTGCAGGTGGAAAGGACGCTGGGACCAGGAGGGGCAGAGGGACAGGGAGGGAAGGGGCCTGGGCTTTCTAGAGGGAGCTAGTGAGGGAGGGTGGGAGTGGGCCAGAGGTGGGGTGCCGTCCAGCCTCCAGGTGGGAGGGGCTGGGAGGGGTGGGACGAGCTGCCACTGGGTGGTGACCAGCTGACACATGGGGGCTCCCAGGCGTCAGCTGCACCCTGACCACCCCCGGCCCCGCAGTGGCTCAGCTCTCTGCTCTGTCTCAGGGGATGACCGCAGCCTGTCCAGCTCGTCCTCGGAGGCCAGCCACTCGGACGTCAGCGCCGGCGGCCGGCTCACTACATGGCCAGAGCAGTCCTCGTCCTCCGCCAGCACGTCGCAGGAGGGGTCTGGGCTGGCGGCTGCCCAGGCCTCAGGGGAGGCTGCGTTGGGTGCCATGAGGCCGCCCCCCAAACCGCTTCGGCCGCGGCAGCTGCAGGAGGTCGGCCGCCAGAGCTCCTCGGACAGCGGCATCGCCACGGGCAGCCACTCTTCCTACTCGGGCAGCTTCTCCTCCTATGCGGGCAGCAGCCTGGACGTGTGGCGGGCCGGCGATGAGTTCGGCTCGCTGCTCAGCCTGACGCCAGCGGCTGGGGCGCCGGAGCCCAGCCTGTGCGCCTGCCCTCCCGGGGTGGCTGAGTACCAAGTGCCCACGGCCCTGCGGCCTCACTACGACACGCCCCGCAGCCTGCGCCAGGCCCCCAGGGACCAGAGCCCGGCCTCGCACGGCGGCCCTGATGACAGTGCAGCCGGGGACTCGGGCGGCCAGACGTCCACCGGGTGTCCCTCCGGCTGGCTGAGTGCAAGACGGCAGGGACAGGCGACAGAGGGTGCCCCAGGCAGCGAGGCCACACTGCCCAGCCCAGCCCCTGCAGAGCTCTGGGGAGCAGGCGGCCCCCACGCTGGGCCCCCTCCAGCTTTCTTTTCGGCATGTCCGGTCTGTGGAGGACTCAAGGTAAACCCCCCTCCCTGAGAGTTGGAGAGCAGGCCCTGCTGCTGCAGGGGGGCTGGGTTTTGTCCCTCTGGATAGGAGAGGAGGTGGTGCCGCCTCCTTGCAGAGGGGGTGCTCTGTGTGCTGGGGGACAGGCCTGGAGGTGGGGTGGCAACCCCAGGGCCGTCCTCCCCAGGGAGGGGACCCTGGGGTTGGGCCTTGTGGCCACCAGGGAAGGTGAGTTCCGGGAGGTGGGCTCTGGGCTGCAGGCCAGGATTGGCGGACCCCAAGACCCTGCTCTGCTCCTTGTCAGGTGCCGGGGCACAGGTGGGTGCGGTGTCTCTGCTAGCTCAGGCCACACGTAGGGGTGCTGAGCACTGGGGACCCCTGCCTGGTCTTGTGGACCTCCTGCCCACCAGCCCCTTGGGGGACAACTGACTCTCACATCCCACCCTGTCCCCTGCATAGTGCACAGTCGCACCACCCGCTAAAACCTAAACTGCACGCAGCAGCTCCGGACACCTGCACTCCACGATCGCAGCTCCCACAGGTGGCCACGGCTGTCCCCATCTATGGGGAGGAAACTGAAGCTCAGGAGGCTCTGTGGCTTGCGTGGTCTGCGTCTCTGGGGCTCAGGCCCCACCGGTCCCTCACCAGCCCCTTCCTGAGCCCCTGGAGGGCCCCAGGAGGGTGGTGTCCTCAGAGCAGCCCACCTTCTTCAGTCTGACCCACGCTTGTACGGGCCAGTGGCCAGAGGGTCCTGCCTGGCATGCTCCCGGGGGTCAGGAAGTGGTGGGGACGTCGGGCTCCAAGGGCTACACTGGCTTTGAGAGACTCCAGGCCCCAGCGTGGTTGCTGGCCTGAGCTGGGCCTGTGTGGCCTGTGTCCACCCGGCCAGGCTCCCTGCCTGGCTCCGTCTCCCGCCGTCTGGAACCGGCCCTGATCCCAGGGCTCCACGCCTCCCATCACCGTCTCTGTACCTTCACCGTTGGCCGACGACGTGGCTCTTTCTCGTTTCCAAGATCTGATGCTGTTTGTAACAAACACATTCTCAGGCTGGAAATAAAACCTTCTTTTCTTACCGCCTCGTGCTCTTCCGTCTGGCCGGCCCTCCCGCTGGGCCCGCCCGTCAGCCTTCGGGTGGCAGAGAGCAGTGTGAGGCCCCGGCCCCGTCGGCCTTGGGCCTGAATGAGGGGGAGGTGGACAGCCACAGGGCGGGTGTGCGTGTGGTGCGTGTGCACGTGTGTGTGCTGCGTGTTTCCTGGCGACCACAGTGAGGCCCTCGGGCTCAGGCACAGGGCAGCCCACGTTCAGGTGAGCGGGACACTGCCTCTGGGCCGGGCGGGGCTGGCTCTGCGCCCGGGCTCCTCCAGCCCCGCCATTTGCACTCCTGGGGCCGGACTGCAGGGACTTTGGGCTGGGCTTCTGGACAGCACCACGTGGGGAAGGTCAGGCTTTGGTGCCCACATCCCCCACCCGCTGGCTGGGCGGCCCCCGCAGGTCTCTACCCTCTCTGAGCCTCGGCTTCCTCTTCTGTAGATGGGACGACAGCCCCCGCCTCACTGGCTGCGCTGCACAGGTGCATCGTCTGTGCAGAGGTGGCGGGCTCAGTCTGGTTGCAAAAGAGACGAGGTTGAGGGTCCTGGGCGGGGGTGGGGAGCCAGCCCCGGCTCCGGCCAGAGCCCTGTTGTGCTCCAGGTCCCCCGCCCACGCTGGCTGGGGGGGGGGGCAGGCGTCTCTCCCATGACAGCAGACTGAGGCTCCACTGTGAGGACTTGCCCATGAAGGGAGGGAGGCCTGAGGGGCGAGCTGCCTGTCACCCCCTTGCATGGGCATCCTGGCTGTGGGCTTGGGTTTCCCCGGCTACAGTGATGGCGGGGACTTTGGGGAAGGGCTGTCTGGAGAGTGGGCAGGAGGGCAAGGTTGGAGCCAGGCGGCCAGGGCCTTGGGATGGAGGCCAGGACCTGGGCTGGTGGGGGCTGGGCTGGGGACATGAAAGACACACTCAGAGGAGGGTGGGGCCTGCAGGAGAGGGCCACTGTGGCCCCTTGGGGGCTGCTGTGGTCTGTGGCATCTCCTGTGGCACCCAGTGTGGCCCACGGCCTGGGGCAGGGTCATGGGGCCTGGTGGGGCTGCCAGGGCCTCCAGGACGTAGTGGGGACACAGGCTTTTGTCCCTTCTGTTCCCAATGTGCTCCTGGGTGGGCCCCTGACCTCTGGCTCTACCCACTGCCTGCTACGGCAGCCCAGGGTCTCAGCCTGGGCCCGGGGTGGGTGGCTCACAGGGTGGGGGCTCCCCCGCAGGGCTGGGACGACAGACGGGCAGACACTGGTTCCATTTCTTTGCCCCCCTGCCTCGGGCCCCGACCTGGTCCTGCCCAGGTTTGGGGAACAGGGCGGATCTGCGTCTGCTTACTTCACTCTGCTCCTTGCATCCGCCACGCCCGGATTTCGGGTTTTACCCGCAGCTGCAGAGTGGGCTCCCATCAGGGGCCATCGTGGGTGGCTGAGCAGCAGGCATCAGCCCCTGCTTGCAGAGGGGCTCCCATGGCAGGTGGCCGATACCTGCCTCCATGGTGCCCTGGGAGGCCTGTGTGTGTGATGGCCTCAGGAAGTGTCCTGAGGGCTGCCACCTGCCCTGCCCAAGTCCCCAAGCCCCCCTGGGACTCTGTTACCAAGGTGACATGGTTGGACCAGCCCAGCTTGCTCAGGGCACCCCTGAGGGGCCCAGCCCATCCTGTGGCTGTCTGCCCTCGAGTCTGGCCTGGACTAGTGCTGGGTGGGAGCCCCGTTTCCAGCCCCTGCCCAAGGCCCCACTGTCCCCCCCTCAGAGACCCGAGAAGGGGAGAGGCTGCTAGGGCATTCCGGGCACCTGCCGCAGGCCTTTCTGAGGGGTCTGTTCATAGCCCCCGGCTGCCACAGCCTCCATTTCCTCCTGGCTGGGGGCTGGGGGCCACCATCCCCTTTCCCCTCTGCCTGCAGAGTCTGCCCCGGGCTCCTTCCTCCCCGGGCTCTACAGGACCTGCAGTTAGGCATGACTGACCTCACAGTCCCAGGAAGAGGTTCCCTGCAGTCTGGGGGGACATTGCCCATCTTATCTGGGGCCTCCCAAGTGGGGTTTGCCCATGAGGACCACGGGCTGGATGCTCCCATGAGCTGCTTAGGGTGGGGCCGGCACACTCAAGGGCCCAGAAGGTAAACACGGCCATTGGGAACAATGTGCCTCGCATTGCGGCCACTCAGCTCTGGTGTGCAGCCCAGACAACCCAAGAAGTGGTGTGGCCATGGTCCAATAAAACTGTATTGGCAAAAATTGGTGGGGCTAGATTGGGCCTAGGGGCCCTGATTTGCCCAGAACATGCCTGTCCTGACACCTGAGGTCCCAGCTTTCCCTGCGCTGTTGTGGGCAGCCGCTGGTTGGGGCTGAGGGCCTGGAGGTGGGGGCATAGGGGCCAAGCACCCTGCAAGAGGAGGAGTCAGGGATTGCATGCTGGTCTCCCTGTGGGTGGCCCAGGTCTCCCAACCTGTGTCACTCTTGGGTTTAGCGTCCTGGTTCTTGGGGGCCCCATGCGCTGGATGAGGGGAAGTTTGATGGATGCACTGACATGGGGTCTCTTTGGTCTAGGGAGCAGCTGCCTCGCCCCCTGGACTCGAGATGACACATTCAGGTAGGACCTGCTTTGGAGCCCGGTGCCCACCCAGCTCAGAACAGGGACATGGCAGTCGGGTGGGAGGTTATAGCTGGAAGGTCTGGCCAGAGAGGCAATGGCAGTGGACAGTGGGGTGGCAGTGGGTGGCCGGGTGGCAGTGGACAGTGGATGGCAGTGGACAGTGGATGGCAGTGTACAGTGGATGGCTGGGCCAAAGATGGACGGCAGGTGGCAGTGGGTGGCAGGACTAAGTCCCAGCCGAGATGTATACAGGCGGGCAGCCATGTGGCCTGCTTCAGGAGCACCTGCTGTTAGTGGCAGTGGGCCACTGGACAACGGTGAGAAAGTCAAGAGACAGTGGGTCCCCAAGTCTGGACCTGTGCCCAGGAGGGCTGAATTGTGGGCAGGGCAGAGTCGGGCTGGGGCTGGGCCTGCGCCTGGGAGGTGCAGCCGGTGCTCAGAGAGCCGTGGTGTGGGGTGGGCAGCCGGGGTGCATGCCTGTGGTGGCAGCTGGGCGGTCTGGGGACTCAGCTGGGGGCAGGGGCATTGGCCATTGGCTAGTGTAGTTTTGGTTCTGGATGGGAAGGCTCAGGGTCCCTCCAGGGGCTCCTCGGAGAAGCCGAGCTGTCAGAGTGAAGGTGGGGAGGCGCTGAGGCTGGGGAGGCGGGAGGTCAGGGGCCAGCCTGGGCCCCAGAGCCCCTAATCCTTCTTGCCCAGCCAGTGGCCCTCTTCCCCGGGCACTTGGGGGGGGGGGCATGGGTGCAGCAGGGCCAGGCAGGGGACAGAGGTGAGTCTGGCCCTGGTGGGGTCGGTGGTACCTGGCAGCCCAGCTTGGGGCTCCCGTGAGAGGGACACAGGAAGGCCAGGATGCAGCGTCCCCTCCTTCTCTGCTTTGTTCCAGAAAGTACTTGAGGCAGCACAGACAATGCTCACGAGAAGATAAAACAAAATTAAAGCAAGGGGAAGGCAGCGGGAGGCTTGTTGCCGGCGGGTGGCTGGAGGGAGAGCCTCAGCTGGCACTTGGGACCGTGGTAGGCCGGTGAGGAGGGAGACATGCTTGTCCCGAGCTCCCTCCTCCCCCTGTGCTGCTTAGAGCCCACCATGCGACTCCGGGTGGTGCTGGGTGGTCCGGAACCTTCCGTCTCCTCTTCCTGTGCTCAGGCCTCATGGTCCTTCCTGCTTCTACCCTCTCCCCTCCAACCCACCCATCCGGAGGATCTTAGAAAACATGGATCCAATGCTAAAGCGAAGTGTCACGCCGCAGGGGGCGTGTCCACCCATGTGACCTGGGCGCCCTGGCTCCCCTCCTCGGCCTTCAGAGACCCCTGGGCCCACCTGGCCTCCTTCCCAGGCTCACCCCAGGCCCTGATGCCCTTCCCAGCTCTCCAAGGCCTTTCGCCCCGCCGGCTTCCCCTGCTGTCCCTTCTCATCCTCCACCCTCAGCCATGCCACCTTCCCTGCCTCTCGGCCCAGCGGCTCCCTTGGGCACCTCTCCCTCTTCTGTTACTTGGAAGAGGTCTGTGTTTGCCCCCCTGTGTGATGGGCCTGCCTGGGCCTGGACCAGGGTGGGGACGTATGCGTGGAGCCCACGGGGACAGTCTGTGGGAGGTGCAGGCTCCGGCCGGGTGAGGGGACCAAGCCCTGGAAGGCCTGTGCGCACTGTGGTGGGCACCCCGCTCTCCCTCCACCCGTCTGCAGGGCCTTGTGGGAGGAGGTTTTCTTTCCTGTGGATTCTGTGTGGTGCAAATGCTGCAGATCTACAGGAACCCCCGCCTTGGAGCAGAGATTTTCTGGGCATTGGAACGCTCAGTCTGTCTTTGCTGAGCAGGCACAGGGGACCTGCTTCGCCACCCTCGGTTCTCTACTCTGGGGCCTCAGGCAGTGGAGTCTGTTCCCTGCCCGTCCTGCTGTCTGGCCCAGCGTGCACGGGGGGGGGGGGGGGACCCCTCCTGTTGGAGGTCCCAGCTCCGCATCTCCTCTTGGCCAGCACAGGCTCTGCGATGTGAGCTCTGGAAGTGGGGACTGGGCCGTGTAGGCCTGGGCACTTGGTGTCACTGCTGGCAGCCCACACCTCCTTCGAGCCTGTTCAGCCCAGCACGAGGGGCCCTCTTCTGTCCTGCCCCAAGAAGAGTGGGCTTTGGAGGCCCTGGGGGTGGGCAGTGATGGCAGCATGCAGAGGCGTGTGCAGTGGGTGGAGCACAGCTCCTTCCAGAAACCTGGTGCATGCACAGGCCGGGCAGGTGGCAGTGGGTGGTCTCAGGATGGGGCAGTGCTGGGTCAAAGATGGATGGTCCAGGACAGCAGGGGAGCTGAGAGGCCCAGGAGAGGCAGAGGGTGGGAGGAAGGGGGTGGGCGGGGAGGGGTGGGCTCAGCACAGCCCCTCTCCCCACAGGAGCCCCGGGACTGGTGACTGTGAACAGCCCAGGGCCAGAGCGGCCGCACAGCGAGGTGCCTACCTACGTGAATATCCCCGTCAGCCCCTCCTCCAGAAGGCAGCTGCACTACGTGGGCCTGGAGCTCCAGGAGGCCGGCTCGGGGATCCGAGGTGGGTCCCACACAGGCCTGATGGGGTTGCTGGGACGCACAGCCCCCGGGCCTTGAGCCCTGGCACTGGACGAGCCCACGGCCAGGAAGTCCTTCCTCCTGCCAAGCGGGTGAAGTTTCCAAACTCATAGCTGGCCAGGCCACCGTCCTGAGGGTGTTACCCCACCCCAGTCCCCACTCGGGCACCTCCCAGGGCTGCCCGGCTGGGAGCAGGGGCGGTAGCACAGCGGGTGATGGCAGGGCCCTGGCCAGGTGGTGCAGGGCTGCAGTGTGAGGGTCACCCTTGGCTGCTTTCAGGGGCTGGCACCTCCTCCTACGCCCAGATCGACGTCGCAGCCACCGAGACGGCGCAGAGGGTGGGGGCCCGGCACGCACAGGCCAGGGAGGAGCGGCTGTCCGAGCTGGAGCAGAGGAGGAAGGGAGCTGCGCAGTGACACCCCGCCATGGCGGGACTGCCCAGGCTGGCCACGCCTGTTGCCCCGAGGGGTCCCAGTGGTGGTGGGGCGGGCCAGGCAAGGCTCTGGGGTCCCTGCAGCTCATTCCAGGGGGTGAGAGCCTTGCCCAGGGGCTTCTCTCCTCCTGCCCAGCCTCTGCCTTGCTGGTGCCCAGCTGACCCTTCCCTGGGCCTGAACATGTCACTCTGGGCCTCAGGTTGTCCTCAAGGCCCTGCTCCCAGGCAGCGGCAGCTCTGCTGCCTGATGTGCATCTCAGATTGGGAGCACTTTTCCACAGCCTGGGATGCAAACTGCCCTCTCACCCCTGGAGGGGATGACTGCACGGATGACAGCCGTGTCCTAGCATAATGCTCACTCCCAAACAGTGGCGGCACAGCCCTTGCCATGGGAGGAGCCTGCGCCTCTTCCCACTGTCCACACCCCTTCACCACCACTCGGCAGTGCCATCTCCGTCACACTCCTGCGCACCCACCTCCTGGGCCACTCGCTGCCCTACGCCCAGGAACAGGCACCGCCAGGGGGCCCAGGCAGGAGGACTGCCCTCACCTGCAGGCCACCAGTGTTGCTGAGGTCTGGAACTTCCCCAACTGCAACACTTCTTGGGACCTGTTATAGGAAGCCATGTAAATAGTGTAAAATCCTTACTATTCTACTTTGGCAATGTGTATTATTCCCACCGCCCCCACCCCTGCAGTTTCCACCCCGGAACATTGAGCCCATATCTTAACACTGGCAGGGGCTCAGGGCCAGGGCTGGCAGAGCTGCACCCTTGGTGGCACCGGGTCAGTCTCATGGGCACTTGCACCAGACAGCACCCTGGGTTTGGGCAGTGACGGGGCCTTTTCATGGCTCAGTGGGCTGATGGGATGTTGGTGGGGGCTTCACCACAGCCCTGCCTTCCCTCTCCATCAACTAAAGCCCTCCGAGGGTCCCGTGGGACTGTACTCAGCCTGTCCTGAGAAGCATGAGTGGCTGGCACGGCTCTGCCCTGGGCATCCTTGGGTGGGCCGGTCCCAGAATGCCAGGCGTTCTGGCTCCCAGGTGACTGTTGGGGGTGCCCTGGAGTCCAGGAGATGGGAGGCAGGGCCAAGCCTGAGCCAGCCAGGGCCAGGGCAGCTGTCACCCACCTCAAGTGCAAAGGCCCTGGGACCATCCCAGCAGGCAAGGGTGGGGCCAGGCTCTTAGCCTAGAAGGCCCCCCATTACCAGCCCCCTGGCAAGAGTTTCTTTAAAGCTCTAAGTGGGGGTGGGGCAAGGCATGATCATGCCCCAGTCCAGGGCTGCAGCGGTGTCAGGGCCCCGCCAGGTGGGAGAGAGCTCTGATGTCCATGCCCCAAGCAGGCCATAAGCACCAGCTCAGACACACAACGTGGGGTGCACGGCCTGGCCCTTGCCGCACCCTGGCTGGCTGGAGTCTGCACAAAGTGGGACCAAATGCTTGTGTCTGTGAAGACAAAAGGGGGTCGCATGTCTGTAAGGGGAAGGTTTGGAGCCCAGACCTGGGTGTGACTGGACATGATTTGAGCCACACTGTACCACGGGATGGCTGAGTTACCTCCTGGGGAAACATCCACCAGAAGAGGACAGACGTGGCCCCGGGGCAGTGGCTGTGGGAGCCAGAGAGCAGGGGCCTGAGCTGGACCTCCAGCAGCATGTGCTTGGGAAGCTGCGGAGGGTGCACACGCACCAGCCCCGCCCCCCTGGAACCAAGCAGGTGGTGGAGGGGCCACGCCCCTCAGCCCAGGGCAGCCCCTCGAGGCCAGAGCGGGATTGGACAAGTGCCTGATGAGCTACCGGTCATCCCTGCAAAGCTGCCCTAGTCCCAGGTGGAGCACATGGGCCAGTGTGGCCACCAGGAGGTCCCAGGGACCCTGGAGTCCAACCTGAGTCTTCACAGGGCTCCCCAGCACACCTGGCCCCCAGACCTGACCTCCCTTGGCTGTGTCCCACTCGTCACCCCCAGCTGCCCTGTCCCTCCTCCTCTTTCCCTTTGTCCCCCTTTGTCAGACTAGGAGCCTCTGTCCGCCCTTCCCAGTGCCCATGTCCCTCCCAGTGCCCTGTACCTCCTGGGCCCGTGCCACAGGAGACTGGAGCATCAGGGACCAGGTGCCACATGCAGACCAGACCTCAGGGAGGGGGATGCTCCTGCCAGCACAGACAGGGCCTGAGCTCAGGCCAGCTGCCAGGGCCTCATGTGGGGCCCTGCCCGTCCTCACCCACCCCTTTAGTGCTGGCTTGGGGTAGCATCTGTGACGCCGGGAATATCAGCGTCAGGCAGGATAATTTATTTTGAAAAACAAAATATTAGAAGAAACAGCTTAAATGTCTCTGGATAGGTAACTTGTCCGATCACACGGGTGATCCTCCTTCAGACAAGGAGGCAGCCCACGCACGTGGACAGGGATCCCCGAGATGAGCTGGAGGAGGGATGGCGTGAGTCTGTGCGGGAAGATCTTGGGGCACACGCTGTCTCTGGGGAGGCTGGAAAGCAGGCTGACACCAAACTTCACCGAAAGACACCCAAGGCCCGCAGATGGGTAGACAGAACTACACACGTACTCCTGGCCCTGCTGGACTGGGGAGGGAGGGCCTGGCTTTGGCCGCCCCCCTCCCCACAGAGTAACCTCCAGGCTAAACTCAGTGCTGCTCATCGTCATGCATTTCTCCGGCTACTATCGTCTCGACCGTTTAAAAGGTTACATAACTGGCATCCTCCAGTGGGAATTCCCATGGCTTGTCTCCTCTCGCCATCTAGCGAGTAGCATGCACCCTGCTGTGCGTGGCTCCGGCTCACCTAGTGGTCCACAGCGCGCCTGGTCCTTGGTGTGCTGGCCAGGTGTCTCTGAAGGACAGGGACGACGGGGGACGGCTTGTGCTATTGGAAGTAACAGGGTGGTCAGTCTTCTCAAAGCTGCCTCCTTCTGAGCAGGGAGCTTGCTTCATGGGCCGGGTGCCGTATGCCAGGCAGGAGAGATGCACATCCTAGACTTTCCCAGATTTTGGCCAAAGTTTGTATTCCACATTAATTGTAAAAACGTACAGCAGCAGAAGGCAGGAGAGTCCCAAGAATTAGGGAGCTGTAGCTGCCGCTCTCATGGTGGCACATGCTGCTGCCTCCCAGTCTGAGCTCAGCCCTGCAAGAGGCGTGTGTTTGCACCGTAACTGTGACAGTGCCTTTGCTGGCCGCCAGGACTCCCTCTCCTTCCAACCGCCCGTTTGCATCTTCTGCCCTCTTCACCTGGCTTGTTTATCAGGAGACAGTAATGCTGATTCACATTCCAAATGGCTGAGAGTCTGTTAGAAAAGACAGCAAGGCTGGCCCCAGCCTCCCTCTAGTACGTTTCACCTCACGACACGAACGTGATATGATAGGAACACGTGCACGTCACTGCTACTTGGTCTTGCAGCTCCAGGTGCTATTTCTGGTCTTCCTACTGCGGGTTATGAGGACTGTGCTCTTTACTCCATCTTCACACAAAACGAACACCTCCATCCCCAAGATTTATGCTGGGATTTGAGCTAGATGAGTAGTTTGTGTTGACCTTATTTGACCTGCAAACTCTACTGACAGGGGAGCAGGAGAGTATATCATTACTTTTGCTTCCTTGCTCAACTTTATAGTTTCCCCATGCCAATCACTTTCACTGGGTGGAGCTAAGTCTCTGGCCCATTGTGGCTGCCATCCTGTGTCTTCCCAAATCAAAGCACTGAAATCCATCCCACCTCTCCTGGGGTGGACCCTTTGTTGTGGATCCTCCATCTTTTTTCTTGATTTATTCTTCCACTCCATGTGCCCTTCCTCCAGGAGCAACTGGACCGGGTGTCTGGGGGTGAATTTGAGATCTGACATGCTTAGGAAAACATCTACATTCTACTTTCACATGCCACTGCTAGCACAGTTGGGTATAGAATTCTAGGTTGGAAATTTTCTCCTTCAAAATTTCAAAGTGATTGCCCACAAGTAGACTTATGCCACTCTGATACCTAACTCTTCCCATGAGATCCAGTCTCCTCACGGTATCATTTGAGAATCTTTTCTTTACCTCTATTGCTTTTAAATTTCACAATTATTTTTACCTATTATACTAGGTACTAGGCCTTGCACTCTGAAACTTGCTCTTCAGCTGTGTAAAATCTTCTTGAGTCACTTGATAATTTTACCACTTTCCATTTTCTCTGATCTTTTCTGGAACTCTATTATGCAGATTATTGGACCACCTGGGTTGCCCTTTAAAATTTCACATTTTCCTGGCTATTTTTCTTCTCTTTTCTGCTACCAGACATTTAATTTCCAAGAGCTTTCCTGTCTCAGTGTGGTTTTATGGTGTTCTGTTCTTGCTAGAGACACACTATCATCTAGTAGTTATCATTTACAAACAGAAAAACACTTGAATCTCAAGTGTACATCCTGATAAACTCTTCACATGTACAAACTACGTGAAGACCTAGAACATTCCCCATCAGCCAGAGCTCCCTCCTGGCCCCATGTGGCCATCATGACAAGTGCCCACTGCTGCCCTCCATCACTGTAAGTCTGTCTCATGCTCCGCTTCTCATGCTCAGCGTTAACGCTGAGATCCATCTGCGTTGCTTAGTTCATTTCTTAACTGTTCCTCTTCCGTTACACCATCACACCACAGGTTACCACCCAGTTCTCCAGCTGATGGACGCCCACGATGTTTCCAGTTTGGACTGCTGTGAATAAAGCCACTGTGAACATTCTCGCAGACACACACATTTGTTTCTCTTGGAATATGTGTGGTTGTGGAATTGCCAAGTTATACGGTAGGGAAGTGTTTATTTTTAAAAAGAAACTGCTAAGTATTTTTCCAAAGTGTATATTGCACCAACAACGTAAGAGTCCCATGGCCACATCTCTCACCAAGCCTTGGTGTGGGGCCTGTCTTTCCGACTCCAGCCGCCCTGAGGGTGTGTAGTGGCATCTTGCTGACACCGAGAGCCTTTTCGTCTCTCCCGACCACTTGGTAACTTCTTCAGCGAGGGGCCTGCTTAATTGTTTACCCACTGAGAAAACTGGGTCGTAGGATTCCTGACACTGCCTAGGAATGAGCGCTTTCTCAGATATGTGCTGTAGTTTTTCACTCTGCCTTACTAGTCTACTTTAAGGTATCTTTTGATAAGCAGAGACCTTTAATTTTGATTAAACCCAATTTTTCTTTTATGACTCTTTTTGTAGCCTGTTTAAGATATTCTCCTGTTTGCCTCTAGAAGTTTTTTAATTTTAGTTTTAACATTTAGGTCCATTCTGCATCTTGACTTTCTGTATGGTACAAAGTTTAAACATTTCCCCCAAACGAGTTGCTCTACCTCCATTTACTGAAAAGATCTTTCCTTTAGAATCTAGAGGTACTATTTGGCTCTTCAAAATCTACTGGGAATTCCACTGTTCACAGTTCCTTGAAGATGTTTTTGTCTTTTCTTTTGTAAACAATAAACCCTTTTGGGCCGGGTGCGGTGGCCTATAATCCACCTGTAATCACACCTGTAATCCTAGCACTCTGGGAGGCTAAGGTGGGAGGATCGCTCAACGTCAGGAGTTCGAAACCAGCCTGAGCAAGAGCAAGACCCTGTCTCTACCAAAAATAGAAAGAAATTAATTGGCCAACTAAAAATATATAGAAAAAATTAGATGGGCATGGTGGCACATGCCTGTAGTCCCAGCTACTCGGGAGGCTGAGGCAGGATTGCTTGAGCCCAGGAGTTTGAGGTTGCTGCGAGCTAGGCTGACGCCACGGGACTCTAGCCCGGACAACAGAGTGAGACTCAGTCTCCAAAAGAAAAACATAAAAAAACCCCAATAAACCCTTTTATTTTATTGTCCGTCACTGGTCATTCAGCATCTAATGTCCCGCTGCTATCCCCACTGCTTCTCACTCAGGGGCCTGTGTCCTCTGTGCTTGGTTATTTTCAACTGTGAACCATTCAGTGTTCATGAAAAACCCTTTCAGGGTTTGAGAACTAGGACCCAGATAATTATTTCAGAGAGTTCTGTTGACTTCTGCAAGGGGGCCGAGCACCGCCAGTGCAGAGCCGCCGTAACGCAGGCTTGGGCTCGCCCAGCGAGCAGCTCCTGGGGGCTGGCCGTGGTCAGCTCTTGCCAGGAACGGGATTTTCTCCCTTGACTCACCCTTAGGGTATGGACTCGGGGTCTTAGCTTCCTATGGAGGTTCTCCCTCAGACCCCCGGAGGCTGGTGTGGCGCCTCGACGCCTGTCCTCTTTGCCAACAGGTCCACCAGGACTTGTGCCTGCAAGTGTTCTGCTGCAGAGACCTGCCAGGACTCCTGCTATCCCTTAAAGTGGCCTTGCTTATACCCTCCCAGCCCATCAGACTCCAGTGCTTTCCAGAGACGGTTAGTACTTACTGTGGCATATTTATTTCCAGTGTGACGGTTAGTCTAGACAACTTAGTCTGCCATCACTGGAATTGGAAATCTCCCTGTTCTTTCTTCAAACAAACATCCAAGGTTATAAGTCCCCTCAAAGAATCACTCTAACCACATTTCCCCAAGTTCTGGTGTGCAATATTTTCACACCATTCAGTCTGAAATATTTTCAGATTTCCAGTATGATTTCTTCTTTAATCTATGTGCATTTTTTTAAAGTTTCTAAATGTCCTTAACTTTGTCTTTTGATTACTGATTTCCTCCTTAACTGCACTTTGGCCAAAGACTGTGATCTATACTACTTACTTATGCATTACCTTTTGAAAGTTACTGACGTTTGCTCTGTGTCCTAGTATACAGCCCATTTTTAAACGGCCTATGTGTGCTTAAGAAGAATGTTTTCTCTAGTGGGCATAAGTGAATCGAATTGTTAACGGTATTGTTCTATTCTTTCCATACTTAATCAGTGATCTAAGCTTCCATTACAAGAACCTAGAACAAATTAAACACAAATTAGGTAGAATAAAGGAATTTTAAAAGAATAAAAAGAGCAGAAGTCAGTGAAAAAGAAAACAAAAAAACAACAGAGAAAAATCAATGTACCCCAAAGCAGGTTTTTTGGGGAAAAGAATCTATAAAATTTACACAGAAAGGTGAGACACAAATTAAAAAAAAAAAAAAAAATTCTATAGAATTGATAAACCCTTAGCTAGACTGATGAGAGAAAAAGAAGAAAAAACACAAAGTACGAACACCAGGAATGAGAAAGAGGAACATCACTAGATAGTCTATAGCAATTAAGAGGATATTGTGCATAACCTTATGTAAATTATTTTGATAACTCAGATGAAATTCCTTAACAAACATATCTTTAAAAAAATGACATGGGAAGAAATAGAAAATCTAAACAGCCTCTTATCTATTTTTAAAAATTGAGTTCTTAATCAAAAACCTTAGTGCAAAGAAAATGCCAGGCCCAGATGGCTTCACCCATAAAATCTATTTATGTAAGAAATAATGACAATCCTATACAAACTATGGCAGAACTTGCTTTAGGAGGCCAATTTAATGCCAGTAACAAACATGACAGAGACATCATATAGCAAGAAAATGAGCAATAGAGACCAATGTCTCTTACAGACATTCATGCAAAGTCCTTACCATGTACCCACATATCAGCAAAGCTAATCTGGCTGTATAGAAGAAGCACAATACGTCATGGCTAAATGCGATTCATCCAGGAATGCAAGGTTATTTTGGTATGTGAAAATCCCTGCAATTCACCATGGTAACTCGGTAAGGAAGCAAGCCTTCATGAATAGGCATCAAAATGCACCTGATCACATTCAACACCCAGTCATGAAAACACACTCAGACCTAGAAGGGAATCTCGAGGATCTGATAAAATGCATCTATAAAAACCCTAAAGCTAATGTGAAAGACTGCACACATTTTCACTAAGATGGGGAATAAGATAAGGACTTTAGCACCAGATGTCCTTGCCAGAGCAGTAAGAAATACAAGGCACAGAGGAAAGGAGAAGCGAAACCTCTGTTATTTACATAGGAGTACGTAGAAAACCCTATAGTCCACAGAAACGCCATTAGAACTAGTGTACGTAAATGGTAGGGTATGGGAGATAAGATCACTAGATATAAACAACTGAAAAATGAAATAAAAATATAGTGTTCACAATAGCATCACACATCTAATACCTAGGACCAAACCTAATGAAAAACGTGAATGACCCACACAAAGAAAGCTCCAGTCCACTGCTGAGAGACATTAATGACCTACGTAGCTGCAGCAATACACAACTTCCTTAACTTCCATAGCTCGGAAGGCTGGATGCTGTTAAGATGTTGATTCTTCCCAAAGTGTGCTCCAGACACTAAAGAAAAAGTATTCAAAAATGTATCCAAGGGGATCTCTATTGAAATTCCAGGAAGGTTTTTCGGTAGAAACTGATTCTAACACGTACATGGAGGCACACAAAGGACCTGAACATCCTAAGAGTCTCATAAAGAGCTGGAGACACAGTCTGCCTTCAGGGTTTACTGCAAAGCTACCCGCGTCAAGACAGTGTGGCAACAGCGCAAGGGCAAAGAGAAGCAGACTCACAGCTGAAGGGTCATTTGATTTTTGACAAAGGTAACAAATCAATTAGTTGGGAGAAAAAAGTCTATGTAACAAATGGTGCTCGAAGATATGAGAAAAATGAACCTTGGCTACAGCCCAAACTGGAAACCCAGATGGTTCATTGGCAGGTGACTAAACAAACTGCGGTGCACCTACATGACAGGACATTGCCCAGCAAAAGAAAGCGATTGAACACTGCCACAACCTGGAGGAACCTCAGATGTTGCATGAAAGAAACCACATGCACATGCATGCAAATCCACTGCCTAATTTCACTTATGCGAAATCCAAGAACGAGCAAACACTATGGCCACAGAAGGCAGAGGATTCCCTTTGGGAGGGGCCTGGCTTTGCAGAATTTAGGAAATTGTATCTTGCTTTGGACAGCAGCTCCATGAGTGTCTGACCTCCCACCTCAATGACCTGAACCCTTTGGGTGGGCTTCCTTGTGTGTTTACCATTCCCAACCTCAACTCCATAGGAACCTGCCACAGGACAGAAACAAACTACTCCACAATTAGACGCCACTGAGTACCAGCCCAGGGTGCATGTAATTTAAAAGTCTGAGTACCAAGTCCTGACAACCAGCTAGTGTTCTCTGTCCATCCTGCTGGTAGAAACATGCGAAGTGGAATTGGCTACTCTATTTGAACAAATGCACACTGCAGGACCCGTCACTTACGCCTAGGAGCCAGAAAAGGTTGTGCAAACATGCACACATGTGTGCTCGCTGCAGCTTTTCCAACTGGGTGTTATTATATCAAATATCCACCAACAATAAAATGGAATTAACAAAGTATGGTATAGTCACACAATGGAATACTACACGGCAACAAAAAGGAGCAAATTTCTGCCAGACAACATGGCTGAATCTCCGCAACATACTTAACACTTAACACAAGAAGCCTGACACCACACACACACACAAATATACACGATGTAACTTGCTGAAATTTCTACGACACTCATACAGGGCAACCAACGTTGCTGAAGTCAAGAGTGTAGACAGCTCTGGGGTAGGAGTGGAGATGGGTCCAGCCGGGACACTGGTGTCCATGTCTTGCCCAGGCTGAGGCTTCCACACTACCACTGTGGGATAACCCACTCAGTTGTGTGTGTTCTATATACTTTTATGAAAGCATGTTTTACTTCAATATAATCATTTTTAGAAGTTGAAGAAAAAGGCAGCCACAGGCCCCAGGCTCAGGGGCTCACTCTGCACCCGGTCCCCTGGGTGGAGCAGTGACAGAGCTCGGGAGGACACACGTTTCTCATGGACACATCTGAAGGCCAAGAGTCCCCTCTACTGACTCCTCAGAGGGTGAACTGAACTGGGGACTCCCCCCATTTGCCTCCATGTGCTGGGCCCAGCCCCACCCCAGGCCTCACACCCCTCACCCTCACTTTGTGAACCCACGAGGCCTGTGCTCTGCACGTGGGGCACCTGGTGGGCCCCCGAGCTTCTGCCCTGGAGCTGAGTCTGACAGGACCAACGTGGAGCAGATGAGCACTTCTTTGGGCCTCAGAGGCACCTGAGTGGACGTCACCCCAGCCCTGCCTGGGAGGGACACATCCCACCTGTTCTGGTTAGTGTGCACACACGTGGAGGCCACGGTGAGGCTCCGTGCCAAGAGAAGAACGGGGTGCTGAGAGCCCGCGAGGCTGGCGTCGCTGGGCCAGGCGGAAAGCCACACATAACCCGGAGTCCACGCAGGAACAGGATGCCCGTGAAGGGACCCGCAACGTGCCACGCTCTGGGCCCTGCCACCTCCATGCCCCTGACACGCAAACTTCCAGCATGCTGCCTTTAGCCTTAACTTTTCTTGTAAATCCATGGCTAAGCGGATATTCGTGTTTGGCAGATCTTGACATTCCAGCCGACATTCAGCTGTTGCCAAACTCAATATACTGGTCAAGCCTCTGTCAGGGTCAAACTGGGGAACTAT